CCAGCAACAAGACCCTCAGCAGCAACGTCAAATCTCTAAACCCTCCAGCAGCCAGCAATAATAGACCCCTCCCTGAACAGTAGATTCCCCCCAGCAACAAATAGTCCCCTATAAATAACAGATCCCCCACCAGCAACAACAGACCCTACCCCCACTTAAAAATATATCCCCTCCAGCAACAATAGATCCCCTAGCAGCAAGCATCAATAGACCCTCCAGCACACCCCAGCACCCAGTGCTGGAGATGCCAAAACTGCTTTCCTCACACATTTCCGCTGAAAATCGCTCATCGAGCCATTCATCCCATAGCTCAATAGTCCTAGACTTGACAGTCTGGGGGGGGCCTGACAAGAGCACCTCCCCTAGAATGGGAGGAGTCAGACCAAAGGGAGGAGGGAGCCTTCCCAAATAGATAAATCAATCAATAAATAAAAATGTGATCTGCATTTCAAATTGATTTTCTCTTATGGGATATATATATATATATTTGTTTTCCTTTTTATTTATTTATTTATCTGTTTGGGAAGGCTCCCTCCCCTCTTTGGTCTGACTCCTCCCATTCTAGGGGAGGTGCTCACGGTTCTCATGGCGTGGGCATGACAGAGCATATGTATATATTTAGCGGAAGGAATGCTTGCTGTCTGGGTCTGAGGAAGAAGGAGTAGACATGTGCGTTTCGTTCCGAATCGAAATTCGGACAAATTTTTTGTTATTCAGAAATTCGGATGTATCAAAACATGTAAGACTAAAAAATTTGAAAATCTCCTAAACGTGCACTGCTTAGGAGATATTCACTCTTTATGAGAGCCGGCGCATGCGCTCTAAAGGAATGGCATACCAGAGCCGTTCCTTCAGAGTACTGTGCCATGGCCCGGGAGTCCTATGCTCATGCACGAAAGTGACGTCATCGTGGTTCGGCCTGTCAGGTGGCCAGAGCTTGTGAACCCGGAAGAAAGATCTTACCACATACACTATATTGCCAAAAGTATTGGGCGCCAGCCTTTCCACGCACATGACCTTTAATGGCCTCCCAATCTTGGTCCGTAGGGTTCAATATTAAGTTGGCCCCGCCCTTTGCAGCTATAACAGCTTCAACTCTTCTGGGAAGGCCGTCCACAAGGTTTAGGAGGGTGTCTATGGGAAGGTTTGACCATTCTTCTAGAAGCCCAAGTCAAGTTCCTCCACCCCAAACTGGCTCCCCATGTCTTTATGGACCTTGCTTTGTGCACTGGTGTGCAGTCATGGTGGAACAGGAAGGGGCCATCCCCAAACTCTTCCCACAATTGTCCAAAATGTCGCCTTAAGACTTCCCTTCACTGGAACTAGGGGGCCAAGCCCAACCCCTGAAAACCACCCCCACACCATAATCCCCCTCCACCAAACTTTACACTTAGCACAATGCAGTCAGGCAAGTACCGTTCTCCTGGCCACCACCAAACTCAGACACATCCATCAGATTGCCAGACAGAGAAGTGTGATTGGTCCCTCCAGAGAACACGTCTCCCCTGCTTTAGAGTCCAGTGGCGGCGTGCTTTACACCATGGCATCCGACGCTTTGCATTGCACTTGGTGATGGAAGGCTTGGATGCAGCTGCTCGGCCATGGAAACCCATTCCATGAAGCTCTCTACGCACTGTTGTTGGGCTCATCTGAAGGCCACACCAAGTTTTGAGGTCTTTAGCTATTGACTCTGCAGACAGTTGGCGACTTCTGCGCACTGTGCGCTTCAGCATGCGCTGACCCGCGCTGTCATGTGACGTGGCCTACCACTTGGTGGCTGAGTGGCTGTTGTTCCCAGTTGCTTCCACTTTTTTATAATCCCACTAACAGTTGAGCGTGGAATATTTAGTAGCCAGGAAATGTCACGGATGGCTTATTGCCCAGGTGGCCACCTATCACGGGACCACGCTTGGAGTCACTGAGCTCCTGAGAACGACCCATTCTTTCACCAATGTTTGTAGAAGCAGTCTGCATGCCTAGGGGCTTGATTGTATACACCTGTGTCCATGGAGGGGATTGGAACACCTGAATCACATGATATGGAGGGGATTGGAACACCTGAATCACATGATATGGAGGGGATTGGAACGCTTGAATCACATGATTGGGAGGGGATTGGAACGCCTGAATCACATGATTGGGAGGGGATGTCAGGGCAGGAGCTGAGGAACGGACAGGCAGGCCTAATAACAATGTAACGCACTGGCTGATGACAACCACCACCCACAGACCGAAGTCCCTCAGGGCACGGAGTCTAAGTCCCAGGCTGCCCTTCACCAGGGCCCCTGATGGTGGGGATGGATTGACGCAGCCAGGAACCAGGTCGCGGCCCCCGAGACACCTCAGTTGCGGTAATGGCCACTGCCAATGGCGTGTAGCTGGTGGAAAAGACAATAAAGTAGTCAGGCAGGCCGGGTCGACAACAATGGGACAAAACGGTACAGGACAGCAGACGAGAATCACAGGTCACGAGCCGGGTTCAGCAACAGAGGGTCAGATCAAAGGAGAACACAAAGAATAGTCGAATCACAAGCCGAGTCAGATTCCAGGAAAGTCACGAGAGTCAGAACAGAGCTATAGCAACACAAAGACACAAGTGCAAAGGGCATGTGCGGACCACAGGCTTATATGTAATCAGCCACACCCCTCTGGGGGGTGGACCTCAGAGACCTGAATGCATAAAAGATTCCCACCATGCTCAGCAGAAATCCAAGATGGATGCCAGCACATGGAGTAACATAACCTCTGGGAAAAGGTAGGACCTTGACAGGGGATTGGAATCACATGATATGGAGGGGATTGGAACACCTGAATCACATGATATGGAGGGGATTGGAACGCCTGAATCACATGATTTGGAGGGGATTGGAACACCTGAATCACATGATATGGAGGGGATTGGAACACCTGAATCACATGATATGGAGGGGATTGGAACGCCTGAATCACATGATTTGGAGGGGATTGGAACACCTGAATCACATGATATGGAGGGGATTGGAACACCTGAATCACATGATATGGAGGGGATTGGAACACCTGAATCACATGATATGGAGGGGATTGGAATGCCTGAATCACATGATTTGGAGGGCGGGGCCAATACTTCTGGAAATATAGTGTACTCAGATGCGGTAAGATACCACTTAGTGACTTGTCCCTGTTTGAAGTTCACAGTTGAATGTTCGACCGCGGACTGAACAGGGGGGTTTTCAGCCCCTAAATACTAACTATAAGAATAGAAAAAAAACACGAACTATAACATATTTCAAATATAAGTGTGGGATCGGCAGCACCCACTGACCTTCTTTCACCTGGAATGCCCGTCCCCGTCACCCCCGCCATCAAGGCTAAGCCACCCAAGGGCGCTCTAAAGTTGTTTAGGAAACATCAAAGACCGCATCTATTTTTCCATTACCAGTCCGGATCCTTCGAGCACTAAATTGCAGTGTTTTGTCAGACAGGTTTTCAGCCCAGCAGAGCCGATAATTCCAGTCGCCGGTAAATGGATACAATCGTCTCGCCCTTATTATTATTTAAGTGGGAAAAGCTCCGACTTCCCACACAAGCCCACCCAGGGAGCCATCCTGCGCACATTCCATTATACATCCACACGGCTTATTGACACAATGTTTGTCTTTTAAACGGCGATTTAGCTGCATCCTAATGCACATACCGCACTTCAGATGGATAGAGGAGCGCTCTGATTCTTTTTCCTTTTCGTTCGGAATGCCTGAAAAGGCTTTTTATGGAGGAGGCTGAAAATCGCACGTCCATTATTCATTATACAGGTGAAACACGAAAAATGAGAATATGGTGCAAAGTTCAATTATTTCAGTGCTGCAACTTAAAAGGTGACACTAATATATGAGACTCATTACATGCAAAGCAAGATAGTTCCAGCCGTGATTTTTGTCATCATTGTGATGATTATGGCTTACATGCTCATGAAAACCCCAAATCCACAATCTCAGAAAATGAGAATATTCCATGCAATCAATAAAACACGGATTGTACATAGAACAATATCGCACACTCTAAGAAAGTAGAAGCTGCATATGTACTCAGGACTTGGTTTGGGCCCCTTTTGCAGCAATTACTACCTCAATGCGGCGTGGCATGGAAGCTATCAGCCTGTGGCACTGCTGGAGGTGTTATGGAAGACCAGGATGCTTCAATAGCGGCCTTCAGCTCTCTCTGCATTGTTCGGTCTCTCAATGTCTCCTCATCTCATCTTTCTCTTGGCAATGCCCCATAGATTCTCTATGGGGTTCAGGTCAGGCGAATTTGCTGGCCAATCATTCACAGTAATCCACGGTCATTGAACCAGGTTTTGGTGCTTTTGGCAGTGTGGGGCGAGGGAGCCAAGTCCTTGCTGGAAAATGAAGTCAGCATCCCCATAAAGCTGGTGTCTGCGGAAGGAAGCATGAAGTGCTCCAAAATCTCCTGGTAGACGGCTGCATTGACCCTGGAGACTTAATGAAGCACAGTGGGACCAACACCAGCAGATGACATGGCTCCCCAAATCCCAAACACAGACTGTGGAAACTTCCACACTGGACTTCAAGCATCTTGCAATGTGTGCCTCTCCATTCTTCCTCCATACTCTGGGGTCCTTGTGCCTCTCCATTCTTCCTTCCATACTCGGGGTCCTTGTGCCCGACTCTCCATTCTTCCTCCATACTCTGGGGTCCTTGGGCCTCTCCGTTCTTCCTCCCATACTCGGGGTCCTTGTGCCTCTCCATTCTTCCTCCATACTCGGGTCCTTGGGCCTCTCCATTCTTCCTCCATAATATCGGGGTCCTTGTGCCTCTACCATTCTTCCTCCATACTCGGTGGTCCTTGGGCCTCTCCATTCTTCCTCCATACTCGGGTCATGTGCCTCTCCATTCTTCCTCCATACTGGGGTCCTTCATGTGATCCTCTCCATTCTTCCTCCATAACTCAGGGTCCTTGGCCTCTCCATTCTTCCTCCATACTCGGGGTCCCTTGGGCCTCTCCATTCTTCCTCCATAATCGGGTCCTTGTGCCTCTCCATTCTTCCCAGCTCATACTCGGGTCCTTGGGGCCTCTCCATTTCTTCTTCCATAACTCGGGTCCGTTGGGCCTCTCCATTCTTCCCTCCAGTACTCGGGGTCCTTGGACCTCTACATTCTTCCTCCATACTCCGGGTCCTTGGGGCCTCTTCTAATTCTTCCTCCATACTACTCCCGGGTCCTTGGGCCTCTCCATTCTTCCTCCATACACCGGGTCCTTGAGGCTCTCTCCATTCTGTCTCCAATACTGGGGGTCCTTGTGCCTACTCCATTCTTCCGCCATACTCGGGGTCCTTGGAACCTCTCCATTCGTCCCTCCATGATTTCGGAGGTCCTTGTGGCCTCTCACATTCCATGTCTTCCGGCCATACTTCGGGGTTCCTTGTGCCTTCTCCATTCTCCTCCATATTCGGGGTTCCCTTGTGCCTCTCCATTCTTTTCCGCCAATACTCGGGGTTCTTGGGCTCTATCCATTCTTCCTCCATACTCTGGGGTCCTTGATATCTCTCAAAATGACCATGCAAAAGTTACTCTCATCATCAGAAAAGAGGACTTTGGGACGCACTGTAGCACTAGACCAGGTCTGTTTTTCTTTAACGCCCAGGGTTAAGACGCTTCTGACGTTGTTTGCTGTTCAGGAGTGGCTTGACGATTAGAATATGATATATGAAGCCCCAGTCCCAAGGATCCGTCTGTGTGTCGTGGCTCTTGGAGTGCACTGGACATCCAAGCCTCAGTCCACTCCTTGTGGAAAGTCCTCAAAACACTTTAGAATGGGCCATTTTCGCTGTCTATCCTCCCCAGGCTAGCAGGGTCATCACCTGCTGCTTGTTGCACCTTTTTCTCCACACTTTTCCCTTTCCGGGGGGGCCACCACAAAACCCCCCCCCCCCCTGCGCGAGCGGGGGGGGGGGGGTGGGTAGGGGGGGGGGGAAGAGGGAACACACCCAACTTCTTCTCTCATATACACCCAATCTCAGTGCCTCTCTCTCTAATCGCGCACATCTCTCTCATACACGGCAACTTTGGCGAACAATCCTACTTCTCTCTGCAATTCCCCCTTTGAGGCATTCCATCCTACACTGGAACAGAGGTGTCAGTGATGGTGTCCTGTCAGCAGTCCTTTCCCATGATATGTGATTCCCTACTTGAACCAGACTGAGAGGACATTGAAAGGCCTCATGAAACCCTTTGTCAGGGTGTTATGGCTGAATGAGGCTGATTAGAGTGGGACACTTTGAGACCGAGATTCATTCCACCTTTCAACAATATTTCTACATTTTCTGAGAATTGTGGATTTGGGGTTTATCATGAGCTGTAAGCCATAATCCTCACAATGATGGATCAAATCTCAACGGCTGGAAACTATCTTTGCTTTGCCATGGAATGTGTCTCAATATATTAGTTTCACCTTTTTAAGTTGCTGTCACTGTAAATAATAATCATTTGAATTGGCACCAGATTCTCTCATTTTTCCAGTTTCACCTGTAAAAAAATTCCCTTGTACGGTGGAAGGTGTTAGACTAGTGTGGATCATATTTCGCTCAGAATCGAAAATTCGAAACGCGGTTTTTTGTTCGGATTGTTTCAGAGGGATTTTGGGGTGCATTCAAAATTTCTTGAACTCCAATAGTACTAAAAACCAAATAACAAAAAATGTTTGATCCAAATATTTAAATTTATTCAACTGTACACGCAATGCTGCGTGGTCTCTGATGCCACCAATAATGTCCGGAAACCACGGTGGCTAACTGGTTTGCATGTTCTCCCTGTGCCTGTGTGGGTTTCCTCCCACACTCAATGGCGTATCTAGGTTTTCGTGCCGCCCTAGGAAACACAAAATTTGACTCCCCCCGTGCCCCACGGAGAGACCCTGACACCGGCACAACACCCCCCTCCCACCACGAAATGAGAGCCTGACTTTACCAACAATACCTCAACCCCCACCCCACCCGACAGAGCCTTCCACTACCACGCGCCCCCCATACACTGGCAAACCCCCACCCCTGCGAGAGAGAAAACACTCACCTTCACAGCTCTGAACATCCTCGGGAACAAGAGTCAGGAGCTCTGCATACACCATAATCGCAAAACCCGCAGCCTTTCTCAGATTTCACCTGGGGTCCCCATGTTGTGTGTGTCCCCTTCTCCCCCATCCCTTCTTTTGGGGGGCGGCGCTGCCCCTTGAAAAATGCTGCTTCCACACCATGAAAGATGCTGCTGCCCCCTGAAAAAACTGCCACCCTAGGCAAATGCCTTGTGGTAAATACACCTCTGCCCACACTCCAAAGACATGCTGGGAGATTTAATTGGCTCCTGTCTAAATTGGCTCTGTGCCGCTGCCCCCCTGAAAAAATGCCACCCTAGGCAAATGCCTTGTGGTAAATACACCCTCTGCCACACACTCCAGACATGCTGGGAGATTAATTGGCTCCTGTCTAAATTGGCCCTAGTATGTGTATGTATGAATGTGAGTTAGGGGCCTTCGATTGTACGCCCCTTGAGGGTCAGGGACCGATGTATAAATGAACAATATATACATATATGTAAAAGTGCTGTGTAAATTGATGTCACTACATAAGTACCTGTAATAAATAACCTGTATTCAGGATTTTGTCACGAAAGTATATATGGAATTGTGATTGATTAAACCCCCATGGGGCAAGGGGAGCATCCATTCACTCACCACCCATGACATCCCAGGTATAATAAACACATAACATACTTAAACAACCAGTATACTCATTTAGTAGCAGAAGGGTCAATTATAATGTGTCAGCTACTTAAAAGTGAAATTATTTTTAATGTGTTTATTATAACCGGGATGACATGGATGGTGAATGAATGGACCTCCCCTTGCCCTATGGCGGGTGTCGGCAAACCGCGGCTCCGGAGCCGCATGCGGCTCTTTTTCATCTTTGCTGCGGCTCCGGAGCACACTGCCCACCTAGGTGGTCGGACAAAGCCGCAGATCGCGAGCCACATGCGGCTCTTCTGTGTGCCGGGCGCCCGCCCATCAAATCCCCTCCCTCCTCAAAAATCCGGCCCCGCGGAGCGTGGAAACATTGGCTGTCAGGATTGTAGGTGGGGCAGCCAGGATGTAGGCGGGGCAGAGTGACGAACTCCTCTCTCATTCCGCCCTGAAGACCAGAACGGCGCGGGAACACAGCGAGAGGAACGCGCGAGCAAAGGTAAGTGAATTGAGACAATATGGGGGATGAATTACTATGTGTGGGGGATGAATTACTGTGTGGGGGATGAATTACTATGTGGGGGATGAATTACTATGTGGGGGATGAATTACTATGGGGGATGAATTACTATGGGGGATGAATTACTATGTGGGGGATGAATTACTATGGGGGAAGAATTACTATATGGGGGATGAATTACTATGGGGGAAGAATTACTATATGGGGGATGAATTACTATGGGGGAAGAATTACTATATGGGGGATGAATTACTATGGGGGTATGAATTACTATATGGGGATGAATTTACTATGGGGGATGAATTACTATGTGGGGGATGAATTACTATGGGGGATGAATTACTATATGGGGGATGAATTACTATATGGGGGATGAATTACTATATGGGGGATGAATTACTATGGGGGATGAATTACTATATGGGGGATGAATTACTATGGGGGAAGAATTACTATATGGGGGAAATGAATTACTATATGGGGGATGAATTACTATGGGGGAAGAATTACTATATGGGGGATGAATTACTATATGGGGGATGAATTACTATGGGGGATGAATTACTATATGGGGGATGAATTACTATATGGGGGATGAATTACTATGGGGGATGAATTACTATATGGGGGATGAATTACTATATGGGGGATGAATTACTATGGGGGATGAATTACTATATGGGGGTTATGAATTACTATGGGGGATGAATTACTATATGGGGGATGTATTTTCAGTTTTAAAAATGTGGCTGTCAAAATAAATTTCAATCGTGGTTTTGGCGAGATTTGGCTCAGTTTGAAAAAAAAGGTTGCCCACCACTGACCTAAGGCTATGATTGTGATTATGAAGATACACTGTGGCCCTGGTTAACCCTTTGCTTACTGGGCCCTTAAACCCCCTTCATGACCAGAGTGCTTTTTGCAATATATGCAGTGTCGGATTTGTTATAAATGTTGCAATGGTTTTGCGGCTCCCAGTCTTTTTTTTCCCTTCAGAAACGGGTCCAAGTGGCTCTTTATGTCTTAAAGGTTGCAGACCCCCTGCCCTATGGGTATCATTCAATCACAATTCCATATACACACTCGATTGCCAAAAGTATTGGGCCACCTGACCAATAAAATAAACCCAGTGATGATCAAAAAACCACCAAAAGAAAGATCTATTTGTGTTAAAAAAAAAATTATATTAATCAGTGTTTCTGTGACCGCGCAATTGCCATTTAACCCCTTGCCTACCAGGCACTTATACCCCCTTATTTACCAGGCCAATTTTCAGTTTCCAGCGCTGCCGCACTTTGATTGACAATTGCGCGGTCATGCAACATTGTACCCATATGAAATTTTGATCATTTTTTTCTCACAAATAGAGCTTTCTTTTGGTGGTATTTAATCGCCACTGGGCACTTTACTTTTTGCGCTATAAATTTAAAAACGTGCAAAAAATTTGAAAAAAAAAAAAAGTTTCTTTGTTTCTATTATAAAATTTTTCAAACAGGTATTTTTTCTCCTTCACTGATGTGCGTTGATGAGGCAGCACTGATGGGCACTGATAGGCGGCACTGATGGGCACTGATAGGAAGCACTAAAGGGCACTGATAGGCAGCACTAATGAGGTGGCACGGATAGGCGGCACTGATAGGCAGCACTAATGAGGTGTCACGGATAGGCGGCACTGATAGGTGACACTGATGATGGGTACTGATAGATGGCACTGACTGGCATCACTGCTGGGCACTGACTGGCGGCACTGACTGGCACAACCACTGGGCACTGACTGGTGGCACTGACTGGCAGCACTGCTGGGCTGCACTGGTGGGTTGCACTGGTGGGCAGCAATGGTGGGTGGGCACAGGTGGGTGGCACTGGTGGGCACAGGTGGGTGGCACTGGTGGGCACAGGTGGGTGGGCACAGGTGGGTGGCACTGCTGGGCACAGGTAGGTGGCACTTCTGGGCACAGGTGTGTGACACTGCAGAGTGGCACAGGTGGGGGGCACTGCTGGGCACAGGTGGGTGCACTGCTGGGCACAGGTGGGTGCACTGCTGGGCACAGGTGGGCGGAGCTAGTGAGCGCACTGCTGGGCAAAGGTGGGCGGAACTTGTGGGTGGCACTGCTGGGCACCGATCATCAGGGCACTGATCATCAGTGGCCCTGATGATCGGTGCCGATCCTCGATCTGACAACTGCCGGTTCTCGGCAGTACTTTCCTCACGATCTGACAGCGTGAGGAAAGTGCAGCCGAGAACCGGCACTTGCATTTCCCTGTGATCAGCGTGTCATTGGACACCGCTGATCACGTGGTAAAAGGCCGGTATGATCGGCCTTTTACCACATCTCGTGATCAGCTGTGTCCGTAAGACACAGCGATCACGGAGATCGCCGGGTGCGCGCCCCCTGGGGCGCGCAGGAGAGCGCGTTCTGGGGGGACGTCATATGACGTCCACCCAGAACTAGCCGGCCGCAGTGAAGCCGTCATTCGGCTATCTGCGGTCGGGCAACTAGTTAAAGTAGAGCAGCACCGCATAGCAAAAAATGGCCTGGTTGGGGGGGGGGGGATGGGGGTGGTAAATCTCCCAGAAGTCAAGTGGTTAATAAGGGATTGAACAGTACTGGCTTTGGATGTCTTTTTATATCCTTTTCCATCTTTATAAAGTTCTATTACCTTGTCACGCAGGTCTTTTGACAGTTCTTTTTCTGCTCCCCATGGCTCAGTATCTAGCCTGCATCCAAGTGAGAGCTAACAGACTCATTGACTATTTATACACAGACATTAAGGGGTTTATTTACTAAAGCTGGACAGTCCAAAATCAGACTCCCTTCTGCATAGAAACCAATCAGCTTCTAACCTCAGCTTGTTCAATGAAGCTTTGGCAATGAAACCTGGAAGCTGATTGGTTTCTATGCAGAAGGGAGTCTGATTTTGGACTGTCCAGCTTTAGTAAATAAACCCCTAAGTGTCATTTAAAAAGCCACAGATGTGGGACATTAACCTTTTAATTGCCATTGTAACCTTTGTGTGCCTGTACCAAGGCCAAACATTCCAGGGGAGGGCAACTTCTGATCCGGGGGGCGGAGACGTCTGATGCGGGCCATTTGGGGGATTTCTGTTATCATTAGGATTTAAAAGGAACCAAACAACTATGTGATCATAAATGGCTTCATATCATCACTATCCCTAAATAAAAAGCAAAGTTTTGGCATGATCAGTCATATGCTTGTAGTCCAAATCAGATGACAACGCCGCTCCACCATAGATGCAGTGCAGCAAGCGAGTGTTGTCACTGTATGGCAGGAAGTGTCTTACTGGCAGGATCACCTGGTTTAAATAAAGGATAGAAAGTCCTAAAAAGGAAAACGAATGCGGCCACCACATCTGAGCACTGGTGGGCTACAATAAAGATTTTCAGTTTTGGATGCGCTTATAGGCCACACCCATTTCCACCATCCCATCACTCCTTATCTTTTAAATCGTTCCTCTGATGTCTTTGCTGATGATCATTTAGGTCCTGAAATGTTCATTTCTCACCTTTTTTTTTCCTCCTCACGTCACACTGGCGTTACACAATCACCGGTGTCATAAATGCTTCACGAGGCCCCCTCGCTGTTGTCACAGATGAATATTTCACGGCATCCTATTTATTAATAGCGGCTTTGCTCCAGCGCCGGATAATTAATTCATAGGGCTAAATGCACAACGCTCTAATTGTCTGAAGGGTTCCCTCCATTCCCCGCCACTGACTCTGAAGTGGATTTATACTTGAAGACAGCCCATGGTGCCAAACGTTCACTTCACACTCAACGGCAAATAAATGTGTTGGTGGAGAAAGAAGAAAGCACTGCATAGTCCCAGGAACTGAGGTTATGTTAAAGGGGCACTCCGGGCAAGAAGGAAGGAGAGAAAGAAAGAAGGAAAGAAGGGGAGAGAGAAAGAAAGAAGGGAAGAAGGGGGGAGAGAGAGGAGAGAAAGAAAGAAAGAGAGAGAGAGAGAAGAAAGAGGAGACAGAGGGAGAGAGGAAAAGAAAGAGAAAGAAAGAAAGAAAGAAAAGAAAGAAAGAGAGAGAGAAAGAAAGAGACTGAGAAAGAAAGAAGAGAGAGAGAGAAGAGAGAAAGAAAGAAAGAAAGAAAGAGAGAGAGAAAGAGAGAAAGAAAGAAAAAGAAAGAAAGAAAGAAAGAGAAGAGAAAGAAAGAAAGAAAAAGAGGAAGAAAGAGAAGAAAGAAAGAAAGAAAGAAAGAAAGAAGAGAGAGAGAGAGAGAAGAAAGAAAGAAAGAGAAAGAGAGAGAGAGAGAGAGAGCGAGAAAGAAAGAAAGAGGGAGACAGAAAGAAAGAAAGAAAGAAAGAGAGAGAGAGAGAAGAAAGAGAGAAAAGAAGAGAAAGAAAGAAAAGAAAGAAAGAGAAAGAGAGAGAGAGAAAGAAAGAAAGAAAGAAAGAAAGAGAGAGAGAGAGAAAAGAGAGAAAGAAAGAAAGAAAGAAAGAGAGAGAGAGAGAGAAAGAAAGAAGGGAAGAAGGGGGGAGAGAGAGGAGAGAAAGAAAGAAAGAGAGAGAGAAAGAAAGAGGGAGACAGAGGAGAGAGGAAAAGAAAGAGAGAAAGAAAGAAAGAAAGAAAGAAAGAGAGAGAGAGAGAAAGAGAGAAAGAAAGAAAGAAAGAAAAAGAAAGAGGAGAAAGAGGAAAGAAAGAAAGAAAGAAAAAGAAAGAAAGAAAGAAAGAAAGAATTCTGAGAGAGGAGAGAGAAAGAGAAGAGAGAGAGAAGAAAGAAAGAGAGAAGAAAGAAAGAAAGAAAGAAATTGGAGACAGAGGGAGAGAGGGAAAGAGAGAGAGACAAAAAGAAAGAAAGAGAGAGGGGGAGGGAGGGAGAGAGGGAAGGAAGAAAGAAAGAAAGAAAGAAAGAGAAAAGAGAGAAAGAAAGAGAGAGAGGGAGAAGAAAGAAAGAAAGAAAGAAAGAGAAAACTTTCCTTGCTTGGTCTCCAGCTCTTTGTCATCACTCATTGTCCTCCTATAGGCCTCATAGAACCTGCGGTACTGACCTAGCCTGCGTACAGCCTGCGGCTATGTTCTCATCACTCGGCACCTTGGGGATCCCTTCTCCAGGTATGCTCCGTATTATATGAGCACTTAGTCTTTGTACTGTTCATTGGATTGGCTGTAGCGATAACCCGGTAAGGACCGCTGAGTGATGCTTGTCCTCGGGAACGACCTTGCGCACACTTGCACCCTTCTGATACTGTATTAGGTTTGGGTCTAAAGTTTATAAACGATGTTCAGCATTCTTGTCACAAGCAATGCCCAGCAGGCCAGGATCTAGTGGGGAGCTAAGGTCTGCTGTGCCCTCTAGATTTTAGTTGTGCCCACCCCCCAGATCTGTAAGGGTTTATCCACTGATCCATGAGACACTCTGATGGAAATAATTAAACTAAAGGGGCACTCTGATGGGGACAGTTGATGTAAGGGGCACTCTGATGGGGACAGTTGATGTAAGGGGCACTCTGATGGGGGCAGTTGATGTAAGGGGCACTCTGATGGGGGCAGTTGATGTAAGGGGCACTCTGATTGATGGGGGGCACTCTGTTGGGGACAGTTGAAGGGGGGCACTCTGATGGGGACAGTTGATGTAAGGGGGCACTCTGATGGGGGCAGTTGATGTAAGGGGGCACTCTGATGGGGACAGTTGATGTAAGGGGGCACTCTGATGGGGACAGTTGATGTAAGGGGGCAGTGGGGACAGTGATGTAAGGGGCACTCTGATGGGGACAGTTGATGTAAGGGGGCACTCTGATGGGGACAGTTGATGTAAGGGGCACTCTGATGGGGACAGTTGATGTAAGGGGGCACTCTGATGGGGACAGCTGATATAAGGGGGCACTCTGATGGGGACTGTAAGGGGCACTCTGGGGGACAGTTGATGTAAGGGGCACTCTGATGGGGACAGCTGATGTAAGGGGGCACTCTGAATGGACACCTCTGCCTTTGTGATGCTTGTAACTGTGGTGACCTATGACTAGTAACTGTAGGTTGAGATCTCCCCTAAGAGGATTATTTATCCTTTTTTAATAAAATTTGTATTTTCTTTGGCACTCTGATGGGGATAGTTGATGTAAGGGGGCACTCTGATAAGGATCCTCGATGTAAGGGGCACCTTGATGGGGACAGTTGATGTAAAGGGGCACTCTGATGAGAACAACTGATGTAAGGGGGCACTCTGATGGGGACAGTGTATGCAAGGGGGCACCTTGATAGAGACAGTTGATGCAAGGGGACACTCTGATGGGGGGATGGGGACAGCGTATGTAAGGGGGCACCTTGATGGGGACAGTTGATGCAAGGGGGCACACTGATGGGACAGTTGATGTAAAGAGGCACTCTGATGGGGATAGTTGATGTAAGGGGGCACTCTGATGGGGACAGTTGATGTAAGGGGGCACCTTGATGGGGACAATTGATGTAAGGGGGCACTCTGATGGGGACAGTTGATGTTAAAGGGCACCTTGATGGGAACAGTTGATGTAAGGGGGCACTCTGATGGGGACAGTTGATGTAATGGGGCACCTTGATGGGGACAGTTGATGTAAGGGGGCACTCTGATGGGGACAGTGGTAATGGGGCACCTTGTTTGATGTAAGGGGGCGCTCTGATGGGGACAGTTGATGTAAGGGGGCACTCTGATGGGGACAGTTGATGTTAAAGGGCACCTTGATGGGGACAGTTGATGTAAGGGGGTACTCTGATGGGGACACCTGATGGGACACCTCTGCCTTTGGGAGTTATGCTTGTAACTGTCAGCCTGTCAGGTCCCCATCCCTGCCACTTGTCTCCCTTCTTCAGGGATAAATTGCCACCCTAGGCAAATGCCTTGTTTAGTTTTCAGTAAATGCGCCGATGATGGTCCCTCTGAACTTCTGAGGGACATATCTGTGACTTGGCATTGCCTATACCTCAGTACGCTCTGCTGCAATTACGTCATACATGCTAAACGCTTTACAGGTTATGAATAAAATCTTTCAGGAGTCTGAAGATATCTGATGATGCTTTATGTGTATCTCATGTGTCATGGTGGCCTCTGCCCTGCGATCGCTGATTATTTATTCTGAAATCACGTCCTAATTCATCTCTTGGTTTTCCGCCTCCAGCATTGTTACTGGCTGCAGAGAACGAGAAGGAAATAGAATTGTTGAAGGGTGCCCCGTCCTGACCCCGGGGACACCCCTGGGACCCACAGTCTTTGATATGCTGACACGGGAGCCAGTTCTGTCTTCCTGATGGAT